AAGCGGGCCGGCGGCCAGCGCGGGAGCAGCAGCAGCAGAGGCGGAGGCTCCGGCGCGTCTCTCTCCTCCTAGTCAGCCTGAGCCGGGGGAGGCCAGGCGGCCCGGGTGGCTGGAGGGGGGTCCGCTGCCCGAGAATGGGAATTCTCTTCACCAGGATATGGAGACTGTTCAATCACCAGGGTGAGGGGCTCAGGCCGAGGCGTTTGGGTGCGAAGAGGGTCTGTCTTGGCTGAGTGGGTGGGGGGCTCCGAATACTTCCGGAGTGCCTGCGGCGCGGTCGCGCGCGGTCTCTGCGCGGGGTGCGGGCTGCGGGACTGCGGGGCTCCGGGCCTGGGTTCATTCCCACTCCCAGCTCGGGGATGGTTCCCGACTCGCAGACCTTTGTCTTAAGGGACTTTCCTAGGAAATTCATTCCGCAAATACACCCATTGCTCCGATTTGGGCTGGGAATGGAAAAGATTTGATGTCCCTGAGTAGCACAGCCTGGCTTGTCTTTTCAGCCCTTTTTCCTCCTGCAGTTGGGTTTGCAAATCATGGAGAAATGCTGAGGTTCTCTGGGACGAGGGTTATAGATTATCCCCAGCACACCACTGAGCGACCGGTGGTGGCAGAATGCGGAAAACACGAGGAATCGTTCTTGACTTGTCCAGTACACCTCAGGTTTATGAGCCTTTCTTTAACCTCCTCCCCTCCTTTGGGGACACACTTCTGCATCCTGAGTACTTATGGACCTCTCCCCGTTTGCCATAATTACATCTGTGTTTAAGGTGAAGCTTAAGGTCATTTTCCTACTCGGGTTGCTTTTTTAAGTAGTTTTCTTTCGTTTAGGTTAAAAATGTTGGAAATATTTCGGTGAAAGCATTTAAAAAACCATACCACGTGAAACATTTGTTAACCATAGGTGACTAGCAGGTTACGTACAGAATGTAGTATCGCATAGAGATAATTAAGTTCATCTAAATTCAGATATTGTCTTGAAATGCTCATCAGGTTTATTAAAATTTATTCCAAATTAATGTATAAAAGGGGAAAGAGGATATAATTTAATAAAGACTCCATGATCATTAAGATGCTATATAGTTAGTGGTGTACGTCAATAACTTAATTTGTTTTTCTCTTGTGTAAGTCGGTGGTGGTGTCACATCCCAAAGTTTTCCAACACTTGAATGATGGCATCTATTATGTACAACCACTACCCCGCCTCCTCCTTCATGATTCAGCTGCACGTATATAAGAATGTGACGAGACAGTAGCAGAACTGGAACTTGTAATAATGTAGATCACATGACATTAAGTGGAAGAGCAATATTTTCAGTTATTTTTCTGATACAGGGATTTTTTATAAATTGGAGAAAACCAGTTTCTAATTTGCACTGTCTTTGGCTAGCCGTTTCTTTTGGGAGAGAGTGGGAACCAGTCACTTAACCTCTCTGGGTCTATGTTTTCTCACCTGAATCACCAAGGATCTTGGTTGGCTATGTGACTGTGGAGCCTACAAGTCTTGAAAACTTAATCTCCAGATCTCAAGTATTGAAATTTAAATTGCTGTGAAGTTGGCGGCACCTACAGTAGATAAGATCTATTCTAGTTTTAACATCCACAATTTTGTTATTTTTAGTAAAGCTAGTATTTAGAAATTTAGAAAGACTTTGCTTGTAAATTAACTCTAATACTGCAAGAAAATTAGATATCTCCACTTCTTATTTTGAGTCAATGATTAAATTATTTGTCTCCGTAACTTAAGAATGAATTAGAGATTTGCTGATGGCTACTTGCCAGTAATAAACAATAAGGATGTGTGCATTGTTACCACTAAAAATGTACTAATGGTAATGTTCTTATTACCTATATTTTGTAATTTTTGACTAGACATTTATTTCAGTGCTAGGAAATTAATAGGAATTAATGAAGTTCTGGAAATTTAGATGTCAGTCATGTGAATAAACTTTTTCTTCTGCTAAATGATGTGGTTGTTTTATCAGGGTCACTTTTCAAAATATTTGAGTTTTTGGTTCTCTATTAAATTGGATATGTGTAAGTTAGATATATCTTGGACGCTTTATTTTACTTCAACAGATACAGAACACAGTCCTCTAATCTTTTCACATAAAATCTTGGAAGGAAGATTTGGGGGGATTACAGAATTTGCCAAGATGATGAAACTTAAACTGTGCTGTATCCTTTTTTCTGAAACCCCTGTAGAACAGCTTTTTCAGTTTATGCTTAGATAGGTTAAATGTACAGTGAAAGCTAGTTGCTCACTCACTGCTGAGGCTTGAAAAATCAGAGTTTGCATTTAGGTGATATATATTTAAATAAAATAGAGTACAAACTTTGTTTTACATGCTGTTGTATACATCACTTAAAAATTTTCAGCAGTCCTTTGAAGTAATAATTTATTCTTTTCCACCAAAAATTAGAAACTGAGGGTCTAATGGAGTGATTTTCCTAGGCCGTACAACTGGTAAATGCCAAACGCTGGCAAATTAAAACGCTGAAGATATATGTTGCTGATACTTATCTTCTTAAAGAAGAGACTAGTATCGTTTTTTTTTTTTTTCTTTTTTGTCCCGTTGTTTCTCAGTTACTAAACTATAAGTCTTTAGAACTTTGAAGAGTTGCCATCAATATCTTTTAATACAGAAAGGTGTGTGATCAGTGGTTGGTTTGTTTATTACATGAATCTTTTTGAGCACCTATTTTGTGCCGGGAACTGTTGTAGGTGGTGGGGATAAGGCAGGGAACAAAACAAACAAACAAACAAAACCCTGCCTTTAATGGAGTGTTCATTTTTGTGTGGGGAGACAGGAAATAAGCTAACTCCATCTCTATAGATAAAATAATAGCAGTTAACATTTACTGACATATAAGGTTAGGTTCTAAATGCTTTATGCAGATCGATTTAGTTTTCAGTTAATTGACTTACTCTTCACAACAACCCTATGAGGTAGATATTCTCCTTATTTTACAGTTCAAAGAAACATTAGGTAACTTGCTTGCTTAAGGCACTGCAGTTAAAAGTGATAGACCTGGGATTTTACCAAAATCATGGGGAATTAGCAGAGTTAGTGCTCTTAAAACAACAATAAAATTTTCTTTGCACAAGGACTCAAATAAAAGGAAGAATTTTCTGACACTAATGTGAACTATTCATAACTTCTTTTATAGTTCAGAAAGTTCCCATTGATAACCTGTATCATTCTGATTGGTTCTTAGAAAAGGAGTAAGTAATAAATGAGTTCTGGAGAAGCTGCTGGTGCCGGGAAAGCTACCTCTGCTTCTGTTGTTGTTTTTTATTGTATGGGAGTTCAGACGTGTAGAAGGGTACGTAATGAAATGGAATGGCCAAAGGAGTGGACTGTGTCAGTTATTAAAATTTTCAGCTCCAAATTCACCCTTTGTGTATGCTCTGTGGATATGGTGCTGAGTCCTTTAAATATTTTTCTTTTGCCAGCTAGCACAGTGTTAAGTTTTGTCAGTAGACAGCATTGGAGGGATACTGCAGTAGGAAAGGGTTTTTTAATTTCCTACATAAAATGTGCTCTCAGTAGGATCTGTCCTGCTCTTGCAGTGTGAACACCGCCAGTGGTGGTTCTTGCACTGCGTAGTGGTCAGCAGCAGCCATCGGCTTCCTCTAGCACCTACTTCAGTTGATTTCAGAATGGAGACTCTCCAGAGAAATATCTCCTAATGAATAGCTTTCCCCAGCACCCTAGAGGGGGAGGAT